CAAGAAACAAAACAATCAAAGAAGGAAAAAAAGCAGAGAGGAAAACCAAGAAACAGACTAACTCTAGAAAACAAACTGATAGTTACCAGAGAGCAGGTGAGTGGGAGGATGGGTTAAATAGGTGAGGGGGCTTAAGAATGCATTTGATATGATGAGCACTATATATTGTTTGGAATTCATCACTGTGTTGTGCACTGAAACTAGTATTACAATGTATGTTAAGTAACTGGAATTTAAATAAAAACTTTTAAAAAATCAAATAGAAATGCACTAATGAAAGGTAAAAAACCTCTACATAGAAAGTTCTACATTATTGTGATAAATAAGAAAATGGAAAGAAAAGGCAATCCATGGAATGGAAGACCATGTTCTCAAATCATATATCTGGTAAAGAGTTAATATCCAGAATGTAAAGTAGTGAGTATGAAACAATAAAAAGACAAACAACCCAAATTAAAAAGTGGACAAAGAATTTGAATAGTCATTTCTCCAAAGTTATACAAATAGCCAGTAACCAATAAAATAAGTATTCAACTTATTTGAATAACTGAATAAAAAAAGCATTCAACATCATTAATCATTAGGGAAATGCAAAACAAAACCACAATGAGACAGCATCACCCTCCCAGTGTATAATGGCCATCATTTTTTAGTGGAAAATAGTAAGCGCAGAATTGTAGGTGGAGAAATTGTAACCCTCATGCATTGCACGTAGGAATGTAAATCGGTGTACCCACTGTGGAAAACAATTTGGCAGTTTCTCAAACAGTTAATCACAGAGTTATCATATGGCCCAGAAATTCCACTCCCAAGTATACCCCCAGGAGGATTGAAAGATATTTTTACACAATACCTTGTACACAAATGTTTATAATAGTATTATTCTTAATAGCCAGAAAGTAAAACCAGCCAAAATATCCCTCTGCTAATGATTGAATAACAAAATATTCCATAGCCATTCAATGGAATATTATTAAGCAATACAAAGGTGGGGAATACTGCTACGCACAGCAACACAGATAGATGGATTTTGAAAACATTATGCTAAGTGAAATAAGTTAGACAGAAATGTCCACATATTGTATGATTTCATTTGTACAAAATATCCCATACAGCCAGATTACAGATTGCCTGGGGAAGAGAGTAAGGGAGAAGAGGAGTAGGTTGTGGATACAGTTTCCTTTTGAGGCATCAGAAATGTTCCGGAATTACTTGTGATGCTTGCATGATGTTGTGAACAGACTACAAACCACTAAATAGTACAATTTAGAATAATGACTTTTATGTTATGTGAATTATATTAAAGCAAGTTTAGCAAACTCTTAAGGAAAGGTAGAAGAGCTTGCTCTACAGATACCAAGGTATATTATAAAGTTATGTGAGATAGTGTGGTATAGACACATAGTTAAATGCAATGCACTGACATCTAGACATGAAGCCAAGCGTCTATGGGCATTTATGACAACACTAGCATTGTAGAGCAGTAAGAAAAGTTAAGATACTTTCAATAAATTTTGTTGGAGCAATTTGTAAAATATCTAAATTTTACCCCAAGTCACATTGAGCAAATATTAATTTCAGATATGTTCTTTGATTATATGTTAGACAAAAGAATCATAACATAACAAAGCTGTTAGGAGAAAATATAGAATATATATAAACATTTTGTGTAATAAACAGGACTCAGAAATAAAAATAGATTGTTAATTTTATGTGATAAAATTCAGGGGCACCTGGGTGGCTCAGTCAGTTAACTGTACAACTTCAGATCAGGTCACGATCTCACTATTTGTGGGTTTGAGCCCTGCATCGGGCTCTGTGCTGACAACTCAGAGCCTGGAGCCTGCTTCAGATTCTCTGTATCCCTCTCTCTCTGCCCCTCCCCTGCTTGTACTCTGTCTCTTTCTCAAAATTAAATAAATATTTTAAAAAGATAAATAAATTTGTAGTAAAATTCAGACTTAGTATTAAATAAAAGCCACAATAAGTAAGTATTAGGATAAGCCAGGAGTGGGAAATATAGTTCCACCACATATAACCATGAAAGTGCTCATACCTAGAAAACATAAAACACTTTTACCAAATCAATATGGAGAAGACAATCCACAGAAAATGGAAAGAAAATTGAAAATATCTTATGTTCTTAATTTAGTTTTATAATTTTATTTTTTAAAAATGCTTATTTTGGAAAGAGAGAGCATGAATAGTGGAGAGGGGTAGAGAGAGAGAGAGAGAGAGAGAGAGAGATTGAGAACCTTAAGCAGGCTCTACACTCAGTGGAGAGCCAGACATGGTGCTCAATTTCATGACCATGAGATCATTACCTGAGCTGAAATCACGAGTCAGATGCTTAACCAACTGAGCCACCCAGGCACCCCGAAAATAACTTCTTTGTATGTATGTATATATACACACACACACAGAGCTAATAGCTAATATATAGAAATGCACTAAAACTCAATAATCAAGGAAATGGAAAAGTATATTCAACATGGTAATGACTAAAATCAAGCAGAATAAACATACTTTCAGGTGAATTTTGACACAGTAGCAACTCTCATATATTATTTGTAAAGATCTGCTAAAGTAGAACATATTCATATTATTTGACCTAGTAATTTACTCCTAGAAAAATACCAAACATAAATATACATACATGTTTTAAATTTTTTTTTCAACGTTTTTTATTTATTTTTGGAACAGAGAGAGACAGAGCATGAATGGGGGAGGGGCAGAGAGAGAGGGAGACGCAGAATCAGAAACAGGCTCCAGGCTCCGAGCCATCAGCCCAGAGACTGACGCGGGGCTCGAACTCACGGACCGCAAGATCGTGACCTGGCTGAAGTCGGAGGCTCAACCGACTGCGCCACCCAGGCGCCCCCATACATGTTTTAAAATGATGCTCATAGAATGACTCATAATAACTAAAAAGCAGAAACTATATCTCTACCAAAAGAGAATTGAATATATAGATTGTATAATATTTATCAAATGAGTATTACAGAGTAATGGAAATTAATTATAGCTACAAGTGAAATGATAGATGAAGTTCAAAAGCACATGTTAATGGAAAGAAACTAGACATACAAGAAAATCTAGTGTTCAATTCCAATTATATAAAGCTCAAAACTGTGGCAAAATAAAACCATAGGATGACCAAAAAGTCTGGAAACATAGATATATATCTTACATAGCTTATCAAGATTACAATATGTTCAATGACATTACATGATATGTTCAAAGGGTTGTCCCACTCTGTCAATGCATAGTCAATATATCCTGCAGATTTATGATGATGTGCTGTCCATGTTACATTTCCAAAAATCACCACATGCATCTGTGTTGCCTTAGATAATTTATATTTTCATTTGAACCTGTGCTTTAGCACAACCCATGGGTAATCAAGTGGGTTCAAACTGTGTGTGTGTGGGTGGGTGTGTGTGTGCACATGCTATGTGTATATAAGTGTGCGTATGCTGTGTGTATATGTGTATGTGGATATGTGTTACGTATATGTGCTGTGTGTATGCCAGGTGTATATAAGTGTGTGTATCCATATACACCCTGTGACAAAAAGCTGTGGGCTTCTAAGTGTTAGTCATGTTGTAGTTACTGAGCTGTGTGGTGATTACATGAGTGTTTAACTTTGTGATTATTTATGGAACTTTATACATTTGTACTTTTGCAAGTTTCTTGTGTGGTTTTCAACTGACACAATTAAATAACTTAAAATATTAAATGGAATGAAAATATACCAGATATTCTCTATGGCTCTTATGCTTGGGACTCAGATCCTAGAATAGAGGCTTCCAAGAGACTTTACACCTGTGAAGGTAGGCTAGGGAATTCCAATAGCTCTCTCATAATACAACAAAAGCCATTACTTGGTTCTCTTGAGTGAACCACTGGTCTTCTCAACTGATTCCAGGTCCTAGAGAAGGAATTTTTAATAGATTCATTCTGGGTGATCTGTTACCAATTAGGATCCAGCATTATGGCTATAATTCTGATCAGAGAATCTAATTTAGATGCTCTGAGAATAAGGGGGAAATACATATTCATATGCACATAAAACCCAAGACTCATGGTGTCAATTATTTTTCACACTTATTGTATTTTTCATTCTCTTTCAAAGAAAGATATGTTTCCTCAATCGTACAATATGTAATTTCAAACTTGATTCCCAAGGCAAAAAGAAAAGGTGATCAAATGTTTTTTTTTATAAGAAAAAAAAACCCTTTATTTTATAATAATAATGGTTAGAAGTTCAATATTTCTGCTCAAACACAGAGAAAGGCAGGCATATTTACAAAAGGCCTCACAATGTTTGCCATAGCCTTTACACAAGACAACATTTATAAAACCTTTGCAGCCTGTGGCAGGTGCTAAGTTTCCTCTTGGGGATTTCTGCTGTTCAGATATTGCCTTTCATTTGAACTTCAAAACCCTTTAAAAAATAGAAGCTGCATTTCAATATAATTTGGAAATTAAAACTCTTTTATTTTTATCATTATAATATCTTCCATGGATTTACTTTTCAAAAATGAATCAAAACCCAAACTAATTGCTGCCTGATAGTCAGCAAAGGCAGAAAAATTGGAAAAACTTTTAAAAATGAAGGTTTGCTTTGCCTCACCCACAGGAAAATTAAATGCAAGCAATAAATAGAGAATTTCAAGTACATTTAATGATCATATTTCCCCTTCCATTGAGAACTTAAAGAATAAAACTGAATAATGATTATGGTCACCTGAATAATTGGAAATATAGTTTTAGGAGCAAGACTACTCCCTTTCTTTGTTTTAATGGCACAATAGGAAATCAAATAAACACATTAAGTGAAAAACATTTTTCACCTTGGAAAATGGTTTCCTACAGTATACTCATCAGTCTGCAATACTTGTAATGATTTTGTAGAATTATAAAATTTCATTGTATTTTTTAAAAAAAACAGAACACTAAAACTACCCCCCCAAATCTTTCTATTATTTTCTTTTTAGGCTTGGACTCCTGGATCATCTGGTGACTTCAAATATCTGGTAAGACTTTTTTTTTTTTTTTTTTTAATGTAGCATTGCCACAAATCCTTGGAAGATGTTTCTTTTCCTCTCTCAGCTTTAATCCATTTTCTTAGTTCTCCCCTCATTTATACCACCTGAGGCTGAATCTCAGAAGGCCAGTAGAAGAAGGTCAGTTACTTCTTACCTGTGTAGGAGGATCTGTTAAGTCCAGACACTACTTGCAAGAGTAAACTTCACGGGTCAGGAAATTACTCCAAAGAAAGGGAGAATTTGCTCCTTAAGGAAACAAAACTTACCATGGAAAGAGTCTGAGATAGAAAAGAGGATTATTCAGGTAAGAGGTAGAAGTTTCAATTGGAAAAATTTTCTTTTAAAATGAATTGCAACAGTTGCATCTTGGATAAAAACCATGGGGGCTGAGTATGATGACTGGATTTAAAAAAATTTTTCATTCCTACAATGTGGGTATTATAGTTTACATAATATACAAGTGGAAACACCCTTAAAGCATTGCTCCTTTTCATGGGGAAATTCTTAAATTTCTTATGGCATTTGCCTGGTGCACACATCATACACATGGGAAGCATATATTGTTTGTTTAAATAGATGTGATGCTAAGGTTGAAGTTTTTTTATTGTATTTTTACAGACAACAGATTTTTATTCATCTTAGAATCTACCCAATCCTTTTATTTTCCTCCAAATATTATTGGTAGTTTGATAACATTCAAATTCATAAACTGTGATCCTCCTATGCTCTGAATCTTTGCAAGGTTAAAAAACATTTAATCTCATATTCTCTTATTTAATTTTCTAAATACTCTATATTGGATTTTTATTTTTGTGTAGCCTGAGAGTCCCATTAAAAAATATTTCTAGGGCCACCTTTTCTATAATTCCCAGCTATGAACAGTATGAGATCCCACCTTTGCAGATTGCAGGAATACAGTCTTATACACCATTGTACATTAGTAACTGTTTAGAGCTCAGTTAGAATGGGAGCTTGGTGAGAATTCAGCATGTCTTTGTGTTGCATATTACCTCTTGCTCTCAAATGCTTCTCATGGTTTCTCAACTAGTACCTTCTAAGGCAATCTTCTCATGACTTTTCTGTGCGATGTCAGGCCACCCCAGTCTACAACTCCTGCCAAACAGTATCAAAGTTGACAGTAAACTGTCTTGTTTAAAAATTATTACTGAAGACTTGAAGTTAAGCTAACAGAAATATAGCATGAAAACGGAAATTTAAGCTTGTATCAGGTCTTACTGCTCCTGAAACTACTGAATATGCATTTCCAAAGAGGATGGCATCCTCAGTCTCTCCTCAGGCACCATTGTATTGTATACGCCCTCATCCCCCTCCTGGCAGAATCCACTTTGGTGTTCTTTTTATTTAAGTCCACCCATGCAAATGTAGAGTATATTAATATCATAATAGTCTGCCAAAATTTTACCCAGCCTACAAAGAAGACCAGTTTCTCTTTATTGTGCAGACTTTTACTAGGCGTGAGTAGGATTTTGCATTACCTTTGTATAGGGATGTGAAGAAATTGCTCCCAAACAAACAGAAAACCATCTATTTACAATGATAAACTCAGTGTTCCATATTTAGCCATAAATAGGAGCAAGAGAAATTTGAAGTTTATATTTTTCTTTAGCAATTTTTAAAACTCTTGATTGCATTCTCAGCCACTATCTATTCTCAGGATAAGAATGAGGGTTAGCCTCTCATGCCTTCAGTACTTTGTGCAAATGGAAAACATTTAGGGAAGAAGGAGACACTTAATGGATCTTAGTGGTTCTCACAGAAGAAATTTTATAGCCCTATGTCCATCATTACAAATCCCAGAGTTCCTGGATTTGTTTTCCAACCCTAAAAACCTTTTCTTCTTTGTATTAGTGGGATTGGACCTTATCTCAATTCCACTTTCTTTCCTCATTTAAATTTTTTTATGTTTACTTATTTTGAGAGAGAGAGAGAGAGAGAGAGAGAGAGAGAGAGAGAGAGAGAGAGAGTCAAAGTATGAATGGGGAAAGGTCAGAGAGAGAGGGAGACACATAATCCAAAGCAGGCTCCAGGCTCTGAGCTGTCAGCACAGAGCCTGACTAGGGCTCAAACTCATGGACTGTGAGATCATGACCTGAGCCGAAGTCAGATGCTCAACCGACTGAGCCACCCAGATGCCCCATCTTTCCTCATTTAAATTGGCAGTGTGTTCTTCCAATTCTGATCATCACACTTACTTATCTTCTGGGTTTTCTCCCATCTTGTAATTCATCTCATTTCTAATCCATGTCTCATAAAACAGATGATTCATTCTAAAACAACACTCTCAGACTCCTAGATCCCACCATGTTTTCTATAGGTTTTTCTCCCCACCCCCCAATCTGTTATGTAAGATTTAATGGAATTCCACCACACTTATTCAAAAGCAGTCTTCCTGTAATAAAAACCTGGAAACTCAAAGCAGGCCACATTTCTCAATCTCTTCCTCTGTCAGCTTCCATTGTCACCATTTCTGCTTCTGTGAACAGAGGGATTCATAGTTCTATAAGAAATATTTTCAATTAACTAACTTATTTAGGATCCCACATACACTTATAAAGACCAAACCTAAAATTTAATTTCTATAATTATTTGCTTCTATCCAATTGTGATATTCAAAATAAAGAATGGTATGAACATGGAGGATGATTAATAACATTACCTGTAACAAATTCTGCATTACGTGATACACGGTAGAAAACTGTTTTTAGGGTGCAATATAGAGAAAAGTAAATGAATGTAAAATTCAAATCAGAATAGTACTGAAATATAAATGAGCATATGCAAAATATTACAAAGTAAATAAATTAAAATATAGACTGTTCAATTATGATATCACTCTCAAGGCACAAAAATAACATTTAGTCTGGAACTAAATGTCAGCAATAAAAATTCACTTCAATATAAAGCGCTAACATTGCCTACACTGAAGATGAAAATATTTCCAGAAAACCTTATTGCAGCACTTTTTCACTTATATAATATAATGTGTTTAATTCTTACAATTCACTGAATTTTGTATCTGTATGTGCAATTGCAGCAATCTGTTCCAATTCATAAATTTTATTTTCTGCACCTGGAGTTTGGACCTCTTAAGAGGTCATAACAATAACATATGCACAATTATGTACAGTTGAAGGGAATTCATATTTTTAAACATTCACTGTGTATCAGGTACCAGGCTAGGTACTTTTTCTATGTAGTCTCATTTAAACCTTCCAATAATACTTTGAGTCATGCATTTTAGCCACCATTTTAGAGCTAAGGATACTAAGGGTTTCAGAGGTTAATTAGTTCATGTACAATCACTTAGTAAATTAAGACACTGAGATTTCAATTCATTCCTAGGATTTCAAAGATTCCATTGATATGCCTTCCTAAAGAAAACTTTTCCCAGTAAGCTTTTAATAAAACTTAATTCTACATGTACTGGAGTAATAACCCTGATCTGCAGTCCTTAAGAAAGTTGATACATATGAGGTTAAAATGAGATTTAATCTTTGTACTTGTACAGTTATTTGAGAAGATGGAAGCTTGCTTATTTTATTATTATTTTTTATTTATTATTATATTTATTTTATTTTTTAATATATATCCAATGTAGTTAGCATATAGTGCAATCATGATTTCAGGAGTAGAATCTAGTGATTCATTCCCTATGTATAACATCCAGTGCACATCTCAACAAGTGTCTTCTTCAATAGCCCTTGTCCATTTAGCCATCCCCCACCACAACCCTCCAGCAACCCTCAGTTTGTTTTATGTATTTACGAGTCTATTATGTTTTGTCCTCCTCCCTATATTTTATATTATTTTTGTTTTCCATTCCTCTATGTTCATCTGTTTTGATTCTTAAATTCCATATATGAGTGAAGTCATATGGTATTTGTCTTTCTCTAATTTAAAAGCTTGCTTAGTTTAAATCTAAGTGGGAAAAACTGTCACAGGCTGTGCCCAAATTGTGTGTGTATGTATCTTTTATATCATATATATCTCTTACATATCTTTTATGCCATATATACATAGCTATACATATATATGATAGAAATCTATCATATATATGATAGAAATCTACATACATATATCTGTGTCCTTAGTAACAAAAACAGAATCTTTGGAAACACATATAATCTTTCTGTATTTGGACAATGGTGATTAATGGACACTTTATTCTCATTCATGTTCTAGGTTTTTTAATGCAAATTTTATGTAAATTTGGCCATCCTGAATGTTTTTAACAGTATTACAGGCAACCTGCAAATTACACTCATGTGCTTAACATTAGTCATGGAATTTCTTTCAAGTGATACAAATTATTCAACTGAATATTGTGTCTTCAAAGAATTGAGTGCTATCTTCAATATAAAGGGTTTAAAATACTTCTCAGAAATAAGCCAAAATATCTTGATATTGTAAAGTACTACCGCCTTGAAAATTAAATGTTTGGTGTTAAAATATTGCATGTTTTGTAAGGTTCTTCGGTTGTATGTGAAAACTGAAGGGAATGAAACACTCACATGTGCCTACCTCATAGGCTTAATTGATATATCAAAATGCTCTAAATTTTAAGACAATATACAGTTACTATAATTGTTTACTGTTAGTATGTTATACTGCTGTGAATTATCATGGTATGAATATAAATCATATGTTCAGAGACCAAAGGAAGGATTCATACTTGCGCCAATTCATTTCTCTATACATCCTCTCACAATTTATCGAGTAAATTATTTATGCAAACAGTCTGATAGAGGTTGAGTGATATACAATACGACAAGACCCTGACTTCAGGGACCATCATTTTATGTATTCTGTATAATTGTGCTGCTTTTACTTATTTTTTTTTTTTCTTTGAAATCTGGTGCTGTGTAAAATTCTGAGCCTTTGTTTTAGACCTTGCATTGTTTCTTGCTGGGATAGCAGGTTATTGGAAGTCATGAGGATAGTGTGAGAAAGGTTGCTAGTGCACATCA